AGGCATCCGACGGAAGGAGGTTGAGAGTTTTGAGTATCTCTTCCTGTGCAGGGTTCTTGCGACGTTCGCGGATGCGATCAGTTTGCATGCGGACGTTAGCTGGAGTAATCGGGTAAAGTCGATCCTCGATTTCCTTGGGATATTCCTCCTCGCGTATTTCAGGGCACGACGAAAGAAGGTCGTTGACTTCAGCGTCCGAGAAGACTGGGCGTGCAGGTTGGTCGTCCGCGCCTTTGCGGACCTGATTGCGAGAAGTTGATGAAGCAACCGCCGAGACGAGTGATGATGCTTGAATAAGACTCGTCACAAACAGACTTGGCCAGACAAACGTGATTCCTGGGCGTGGGCCTTGAGTGCGTAGGTGAAGAGTTTGACTCGAGCTTGGCCAGACGAACAGAGTCCGTCGGCGGGGGCTGTCGTCGTGAAATGAGTGTGCGTATTCGAGTCGAGTCCAAGATTGAAGGATGGATAAAAGACGTGAGTCATCCACCGTCGTAACAATTGTGATCGAACAAGGAAAGGAAGATGCATTGTTCTCAGGCACGTAGGGAGCGTACTGAGTGTGGCAAGCCGAGACGAAACCTGTTCCCGTAAGGTTCATCTCAGCGCCAAAGCCCCAGGCTTCATTTGCGGGCTTGGACGGGCACTTGGCGACGGTGTGTCCAGGCTGGCCGCAGAAGTGGCAGAGCGTGGCATGTTCGCCCTGGGTAGTGTCCAGTCTGGCCGCAAGAGTTGCAGCGCAAAGTCCGTCGAGAGCATTCACTAGCACCATGACCACGACGAGCACAACGGCCACAGACGTTTGGCCGCTGATCGTCATTTCGTGGGGCTTAGACGAGATCAACACTGGGGTATGGCCAACACGAGCACGTCCGGCACCGGACATTTTATTCTGCGTCGGTGACAGGCTCGGTGGAAGGGCCGCTTGACCGGAAGGTGCAATGTTATTTGGAGCATATGGTTGTTGATACGGCTGTCAATAAGACTAAGTCGCAGGCTAGATCGGAGCCGCTTGTTGACAGGCGAAGCCATATGGTTGCTGCGGCTGGATCGGGGCAGCGTCTGACAAGCCAAGGCGTCGACAAACCCTTGCTGGACTTGGTTCGAACGCTCGATCAACGCGACGAACGCCTTTTGTTACTGGGCATGGTTCGTCCTGATGAGTTCGAGAAGTTGCCGCATCGCGTCTTGGTCTTCAAACTCGACATGAGATCCGCGGCGCGACGCACGAGGCGACGCTGGAGGAGTTCAACGTTCACTGGTAGTTGTACGATACGGCGCCGACGTAGAGGCCAAGGAGCTTGGCAGCTATTTCGTCCAGACGAACTTCGCGCGTGCGAAGGAGTTTCATGCAGTCGGCGATCCACGCCGAAACCCTGCGAATTACATCGGACGGCAATCCTACGAAGTGTTTGAGGAAGACGGTCACACGCGGCTGCAAGTTCCTGGGAAAACGAAGCCGTGCCCGCACTGCCAAGCAAAGTTGACACCCCACGACTACAAGAACCTGCCCTGTTGTTTGAAGGGCAAGGTCAAGATGGATCCTTCCGTTTTTCCAGACTCGCCAGAAATGCAAGCGTTCAAAGATCACTTCAAGCAGCGCAACTTCATCGAGCACATCCGTCAGTACAACGCTCAGTTCAACTTCACTTCCATTGGAACTAACGAGGTCAAGCACAGCCGCAGCGGCCTCAAAACGTATTGCATTCAAGGCCAGCTGACCCACAACATTGGTCCGTTGCAGCCCAGCCTCAAGAGAAGTGGAAACCTGCGGCAACCACGTTTTGCCCAAATCTACATGCACACCAGCTAAGAGCACCTTCAACACCGACGAAACATGTTTCCGGCGTTCAGTTCGTTGTACATTGCCACGATACAGCTAGTGACGGATCTCCACAACCCATTGACGAGGACGTATGCAACTGTCAAAGAACGTTTGCGTCGAGCGGAAGCGGACGGGACTTCGGGGGGGCAATCTTCAAATCGTTCTGAAGGCTGTTGATGGCGCGCAGACTTCAACACACAACTTGCCTACCGTAGCTCAGATAGCGGTTATCATGGAGGTACACGGCAGCGAACCGACAGAAGGTCGTCATGTGGTTCTGCAAAGTCTGAACTCAAACCGGTTCACAACTATTCAAGAAACAAATCCACTTCCATCGTGCATACCAACTTTCTACAGCATTATTGTTCCTTATGTGATGCCACACAACACGTTGATAGTTCGAAACAACTGCTACTTGACTTACGAACGCCTTCCGAAGTGTATACGGAAGTACTGTTCACCACATCGAATACAGCGGTCGTACCTGCAAGATAGGTCGACTGCACTCTGACCAACAAACACATCATGAGTCAATCTGCGGAGCTATTGGAGTGCCCGCGAGATGGCGCCAACTGTGTTTTGACCAACATTATCACGAGATACTTAGCGATGCGATTGGACATACACGCAAGTTGACACCGACATGCATTCTGACATACACGTCACGTGTCAAACAGCGAGCAAATGGATGTTCCTGCGAGGCGGGGCTAACTGCTTTCAAGCCAACGCGTCAAAGACCACATCGTTACTGAGTTTAGATGTGCGAATTAGTCTTAACGTTAGCATAGTTCCAAGGATTCTACCGGAGCCTTTCCTACTTCTAGTGGACCCCACAGCACATTTTTACTATAACTCATACTACATACAGAATATGTCTGAAAACTATGCGAGGCTCAACTACCGGTACGACGACAAATAAGTAGAAACTTGCTCCAACCGACAATTACTGTTAACTCCGGCAGCAGAGCAACCGGCTCACCTAGTAGGTGATTAGTCGTTAAATAGTAACAGTCGCATTGGTGGGGATGCTCTAAACTTCATATAGTATTTCTTACATTCTTTTTGAAACGACATACATTTACCCAGGTTTAAATAAGCATATATTATCTGCTTTCCATATGCTACCTTGGAGGTTGAAACGAATCCAAACTTGGTACGATGCCGCGTCCAATCCATCGATGTTCTTCGTTGATATCCGCGGCGGCTTCCACATCTTGTTTGGCCGTTCAATACACGGGCAACACAATCGACATACTAGTATGCTGGGTCGCCTCGTCAAGCAGTACTATGCGCTCGAGTACAACGTGCGCTTAACGTACTTGTACTCGGCATTCTTCTGTTCGTCGTGCAGTATCATCTTGGACCAAGTGCTGGCTGGCTACATCTACGTCTTGACCGGATCGAACGAGCCCGTGGGCATGGTTACGGGCATCATCGGCCTCGTGCGCATGCTTGTGACGTTTCCCGCGGGCTACGCGTCAGATCGGTTCCGCCGCGATACGGTGCTCAAGTTTGCCGGTGTTTTGGGTTTGATTTGTGCCGCCATCAGTCTGTCGGCATATATATCGGTAGGTGTGTGCCATTCCCATCAAATCCTTCGATATAATCCAATCCATCGCGACTACTGCTATGTACTCTTGCCACTTACTCATCACAACCACTCATATATATATATATATATATATATATATACCATGTGGAGATGTGTGGATCTAACGACTCTTGTGCAGGGCCACATGCTGCTGCTATACGTAGCGTATGCGTGCTGGGGCGGGTACTTTGCCATCCAGCGCCCCGCGACCGAAGCCCTCTTCGCCGACTCCATTCCCAACGGCCAGCGCGAAGGCCCAATGACTACCAAGTACATTTTGATGAACGTCGTCGGCACCCTTGGTCCCATCGCTAGCATCGTGTTCTTCTACATCTACGGCGACTCGTGGTCCCTTTCTGGCCTTCAAATCGTCTTGTGCGGCGGCATGATTGTGGGTATTCCTGGTCTCGCGGTACTCTTTTTCTTCAACGACGACCTCGCCTACGAAAACAACCGACGAGCCAACAACCGGCTGTCGATCATCGAAGACGGCGAATTGTCCGACCTAGATGTGACACCGCGGGGCAAAGAGCGGTCTTTATTGCTGCAAAATGATTCGGACAACGAACCACCGGAATGTATGTACGCGCTCCATAGGATGATAATCATATCGTTGATGTCTAGGATGCATCTTTCTGTCTGTTTGCTTGTTTGCACGGATGTATTGTGCTGTCGAGTGAAATTTCGTGGTTTCTCGTTGGTATTTGAATCGATTTGATTGGCTACTTCAGATGAGCTCAAAATTATTAGCCAATCAAAACCTTCTCAATGAAATTCAACCAATCAGATAGATTGTGGATCAGTTTGGTCGGCGCGATTCGATTGCACCCGCTCCCCAAATTTGTATCAAATCGACAATATGTATATTTATTTGATTTTGCATCATGATGTTGGTCGTAAAGTTATGACGGGATAAATATCGGTAGAAAACCCTTTGGGGCGGGGTGTACGTGCCAGAAAAAAATACTACTAGTATATAGTCTATTATATAGTATACAGTGTGACGATATATATATATATCCCTTTTTGTCGTGCGAATTGTTTTTTAGAACCACTTATTTGTTGTGGTATTATTGGTGATTGTTTGGAATTGATTTCGAGTTTTTTTACACCACTTTGTCATGATGACATCGCTTTTGTTCGTGGGAATATGCAACAATATATTGACGATTGGTTGGATCAATTTATATATATATATTATTGGTGAGGTGTTTGGAATGTATGTCTTTTTTTACATCATTTCAGGGCGATGGATATCTGTGGGTTATGTTTCGTATGTGCTTGCATCATCGTGTGGCTGGTCTGATTCCAAGTGCTGACGCCGATGATTAATGTGATTGGTTTGTACTAGTCGTTGTTTGAGGATGGATTTCCTCCAGTATAATTAACTATTACAAATTCATTTCGCTTGATATATTATTGATTCAACTGTCGATATAGTATGGGAAACCGCCAACACATTTTACTGCCTCGGTCCGCGCCACATTCCCTTCATCTTGTTCGTGACTGACTTTATCATGTACAACGGCGCCGGCCTGTCGATCAGCTTTTTTCCGCTGTTTTTTCAAAACGTATACGGCCTAACGCCTTCGCAAGTGAACCTGCTCTTTGTGATCCAACCCGCTTTGGTTGTGTTGCTCACGTCCCT